AAAAACATGCTAAGCAGGAATCAGCCAGGATAAACAGACCGACGTGTAACACTGGCCAGCTGCCGTGTTTCAGCCCCGGTGGGGCCTGTGCACCTGTCACGAGACGGGCTCTGCCGCAAAGAATTTACAATCTACACAGACAACGCGAGGGTGATTACCTGCCTTTTGGAGATGAGGACACACAGAGATGAAAGCGAGCCGCCTACCATGACCCAGGCAGCCTGTGGAAGAGCTGGCAATCCAACCGACGTATCTTGAGCCCCATCCAAAATACCCAACTGGCAAGAGTCCTTCCTGAATTACCAGTACATCCTCTGCTGACTCTTCTACTTGCTTCCTGTGTTCGCCATGAGCTGTTGGCTTTCTGTGCAGAGGAGATGCTTAGGAAGAGGAGAGCATTGCTTTGTTGGCTGCAATGTCTGAGGCTTTTTGTGTGTTCTTAAAGTTCAGTCTCATACAAAGTTTGAAAACTAACCTGTGTGATCAGCTCAAGTTATTTTCATTTGATTTCCTTACCACATCTTTTCCCCTCCATTTCCCTTATTCATTGTGTTCATTACATCCTTAAAAGGTATTTTAAATTAATTTACAGCACTGTGTGAACACTAGTAAAAATATTAGCTTTCAAAGAGTTATGTCAATGAGGGAAGCATGCTCATTCTTCCTTGAAGAAAGTATATTATAAAAATTGTAACCCATAAAACAAAAGCTAACTTGCATTTTTCTGGTCTTTAAATCCATCCCTGAGCTAATGCAATGGAATTTAGCACTTAATTTATAATAAATATGCATAGAAAAGGCAGAACACCTAACCAAATAGGCATATTTACAGTGGTACCCAAGAGGAAATTATTAGTTTATCATAGGAAATAGTCATGTTCTGCAGCAAATACAAAAGGAGCTAATAAGATTTCCTGTCAAGATGCTTTTTCTCCGGTGTCGTTACCAGGGCAAGCCGTGATGCTTCAGCCAACCACGTGCACACAGCAATAATTTTGCTGCAACACTGGGGGTTCACCATGAATATTTTTTTAGTGATGTTGTAAACATCTTTCTGCCATAGATTTATAGAGCTCAGACACTGCTAAGACCTAGTGCTGACCAGGGAACATGATTTTCATTAGACTAATAATTTCTACCTTTCCCCATTTGTTTTTATCCTACCTTTCCCCATTTGTTTTTATCCTAACAAAAACACGGTCTTGGTGATATGTTTTTTTAACCAAAAAATACCCCCCAAAACTGAACAAACTCACCCCCACACAAATCTAGATGCACACCAGCCCAGCCAGAATCATTAAATGGCTAGAGCACTTGGCTGGGATGTGAGAGACCCTTCAAAATCCTGTGAGATATGGGGATGTGTTGAAAGTGCACATGTGAATTTAATGTTACTTTCTGTTGAATCTAGTAATGGCAATAAATGCATCGTTTGACTTCATGTTAACAATCTGTTCTGTGCTTGCCGGTCCCACAGCACCTTCTACCACACTTGTGGCCATGGTTATTTGTTTCTGAGTGCCCTTGGAGAGACGTGACAGCTCCCTACTCCAAATAAAGCAGAGAGGGGACTTGACATCCACCTGCCATCTGAGTCCTGATTCCTGGGCTGTTGGCTAGCTGGGACCATCACATCCTGGTCTGGACTAGAAATTCCCCCCAGGACTTCAGCAAACTTTCTCATCCTTTGGTCTCCTCTCCCCTCTAATCAACACTCCCACTCCCCCCCCCAAAAAGTTTGTTTTTAATGTATTTATGTATATATAGACCCCCCAACCAAGAGGAGGAGCTGGACAGGGAATT